CGTGGCAGGTGTAGTACTTTGTGGCCCTTGGAGTGCAGATTTCGTGGCAGGCGCAGTACTTTGTGGACCTTGCAATGCACATTTCGTGTCAGGTGCAGGACTTTGTCGTGGATGTGGAAGTGCAGAGTTGGTGGCAGGTGAAGCACTTTGTGGGCCTTGGAGCGCAGATTTCGTGGCAGGTGCAGGACTTTTTGTGGACCTTGAAGTGCAGATTTCGTGGCAGGTGTAGTACTTTGTGGCCCTTGGAGTGCAGATTTCGTGGTGGGTGCAGGTGCAGGACTTTGTGGGCCTTGGAGCGCAGATTTCGTGGCAGGCGCAGGACTTTTTGTGGACCTTGAAGTGCAGATTGGTGTAGTACTTTGTGGCCAGATTTCGTTGGCGCAGGACTTTGTGGACCTTGAAGTGCAGATTTCGTGGCAGGTGTTGTACTTTGTGGATGTTGAAATGCAGATAGGCAGATAGATAGATAGATAGAGGCATATTTGCTTGGTTAGAAAGTTTTGCACCGGGGAGTTCACCTTAAAATATTGATTTCGTGGCAGGCGCGGGGATGAAGTGCAGATTTCGTGGCGCGGGGGGGTGTTGGGGGGGGGGGGGCGCAGCGCCCCCCCCGGCAGCACACCAGATCCAAAGGTGAGCAGCTCGTGCTTGCTTGCTTGCTTGCTTCCTTGCTTGCTTGCTTCCTTGTTTGGTTTCGTCTCTGCAACGCAAACAACAGGAAAAGCAAATGCAAAAAGAGAAAGGAGAACAGCTGCCAAAGAGAAAGAAAGAAAGAAAGAAAGAAAGATAGATAGATAGATAGATAGATATAGACAGATAGATATAGACAAATAGATATAGACAGATAGATATATAGACAGATAGTTGGATAGGCCAAAAAGCCAAACGCCACAAAGCCACAGAAGCCACGAAAGCCAAAAGCCACAAAAGCCAGAAGCCACAGAAGCCAGAAGCCAGAAGCCACGAAAAACAAAAAATATCCAAAAAAGGAAACAAAAAACATCCAAAATTAAATGGCCCTCCATATAATAGTTGTAAATGTTAGGCACCAGAAATTTATAGATACTATAAAAATGTTCAATGTGTATAACATTAGTAAACTTCATTGTTCCAGGAACTCGGGAAAACTCACTATTTACAATATGTATAGATTTCGGGCCCAACAATCCGTAATTGTCATGGTCCTGTCTAAGGATATATCTAGCTGTCTTAAGGATATAGTTGCACAGAAAGGCCAAATATGTATAGTATCTTTAAATGTTGGGCCCCAAAGTTTCTATATAATATAAATAGATTATGTTCCTTTTACAGTAAATCCTTTTATTTTTCTTTCTAAGTGTATATGTGGCTTTCTCAAGCCGCGCAAGCCAATATTTATGTCATTTAAAAATTAGTTTAGTTTATGTGCAATAGTTTAAGTCCCTAGCGGTGGGAAGTCTGCAGTTTAAGTCCCTATATCCCATTTTTTTCCTGATGATGTCCTCTTAATGTCCTTTTGGATTCCTTTTGGCTCTTGTTGATGCCCTTTTGCCAACCTTTTGATGTCAGAGGATTCCACTTTAAATTTCTTTGACTACAATTGTTGTTAATCTTTAGAATTACATTTGATTCTTGTTGGTTGCCCTTTATTTGTGTTTAAATGGCTTCCTGTTGTATAAACCCTTCTGATTTCTCCTGTGTGATTCTTTGTGATTCCCCTTTTCAGATTATTGGCTTGGCTTTGAATGATTACCTTTTAAATTCTGAAGGCGTGTAAGTTCCTATGTTGGTTCCAATAGATGTCCTTTTGAACTCCTTCTGGTTCCCTAGTCATGTTCTTTCAATGTCCTTTCGCTTCCTACTGATGCCCTTTGAATTTCTATAGTCATTGATATAGTCAAATATATTTTAAACCCAATAGTAAATTGTTGCATTGCAAAAATCTATTTCACCAAGGAGGTGGTACACTAGAAAACGTGAATAATACAACCCCCGTCAACAATAATTACCCTTTTGGGCGTTAAAAAACATCCATGATTCTATAACGCCGTTGCTTTTCCATATGTAAAAAATATTATCACCTCAAATATTGTGTGCGTTTTTGCTCTAGTATGATTTTAATGAAAACATCCCCGCAATAATGTCCACGCCTTTATATAATTGTTCAGTATGGTTATTGCTGTCTATTTCTCTCCCGTAAGCCCCCTGGAAACTGGAAAAATGTGTTCGTCTTTTTTAACTTATATAATGATCCACCATGTTTGTCTTCTTATCCAATCAATTGTTTGTCCTCCAGTTTCTGTTTCCTTTGCTCATTTGCATCTATCAATCTTTCTCTTATCACAGCCACATCTTGGTCCACAACCATCTGCATCTGTCAAAAACAGTTTAAAAAAATGGGTAGATCTGGGGGGTAGCATATATATATATACAGTATATATGTTTTTGTCTGTACATCTACCTACCTAGCTATCTATCGAGGTAAACATATGTATATACATATATTGATTGACACCAAAGGGCGCCAAGACTCTTGGGAAATTGACATACTTTTTTTGCAAATATTAGATTGGGGGATGGTGCCAATAACAATTCAAGTACTATTGCTTTTACGCTATGCAACGCGCACGGGGACACATAAATTGACATCCGGCGAACATTCTTGGAAAGGAGGTAACAACGTTGAAGCCAGAACGGCAACCACTGAAAACAAGGTTCCTCATATTCTGTTTTGACTTCTCAATTTGTTGAGGTTGCAGCTGACGTTCGGTGCAAATAACGAAATAGGGCATATTTGCGCTGTGAGCTTCCACATGGCGAGCCACCCTTACCAGCGCATGGTTTCACAAGGAAAGGAGTGCTTTCATGCTTGGACTGTGCTCGCGTCGCCTTGTTCTAGCACCCTGTTCCACACACCGGTCAACATGATGCGCTCTGCTTCTGCGCAATGGGAGGCCTGGCTTAATGCAGGATTCCTAATGCGAAGGACTAGCCAGGTTTTGTTGCGATGGACAGCAGCCAAAGGAAAGTCACAAGTCGGGGTCACAACAAACCGTAGCAGCCCTCCATTGACCTTTCCCAACGCATCTGAACACTGCCAAGTTCACCCTCTTGGTGATTCTGGCTCTGGTAAACTTGGTAAACAGAGTCCCGACAGAGATCGCCGATCCAAAATGGAAGCATCACTTGGAAACCTTGCGAAGGCTGGTGGCTGGTGCTGGTGGTAGGATGGACACCTTCCCACCAATGGCGCTATGCGAGCGTGTCCTACAAGAGTTGCACAAGTATTTTCTGCAGACTTTTGATCTGCAAAAGCATGGTCTGCTTCCGAATGCTAGCGGCCAAGCCCTTGTCAATTTTCCCCTCGTGCCCAGGTCATGACTGTGACCGTCGTGGAATTGTGCTTTTTCTTCCCGCCCGGGTATGATGTGAGTCCCCACCAGGCCACACACTCCCCGCGCCAGCGACGTAATCTCTGTCCCGAGGGATTGCTTTCGAGCAAGTCACGCTTTGCCAAGGGAGCATGGTCTGCTTGTGTCAAGGGAGCAAGTCACGCTTTCGAGTTGAGACCCTTTTGGTCTTGCCCGCCTTGCCCAATAAATACATTGCGCTCTCTCTCTCTCTCTCTCTCTGTGACACTTTTCGGTAACACTCGTGTGGGCCACTTTTGTGTGACACTCTTGTAGGACACTCTTGCTTGACGCTTTTGTAGGACACTGTGAGAAAGTACAGGAATTATGTCTTTGAGGGTTGGTTCGTTTGTGCATAGAGCACTTCCTGAATTTGGGCCGATGGGAGTACCATATCTAGGCTAGGCCTATACTGATACTGTACCACTATGTTACTATATACTGCATGCCCCTCGATATAGCCGTTGAACATGACCCCATCCAGTAAATTGTGCGAGTACATTATCTTCCAGGTCTCCAAGTTCTGAAATGGTTTGAACAGTTCCATCCAGCTGCCAATCTCAGAAACCAAAATATCTAAAATTGATCTTGTCTGGGTCTCTGGCCACATTCCCATGGATGGCACGCAGCCGCTCGACCTGGCCGATTCCATTTGGGCACCTCTCCCTAGCAGTGAGCGGTGAGGAATGATGCAAACAAAGCGACAGGTGCGGTGGTGAGTTGATGTGTTCATGGGCCCTGAGCTCAAAAGAGATTAAAAGAGATGAACTGAGTCAAGATGCCAGAACCCAGCTGTGTGATCCAACCTCCCTAGAGGGGTACCAAGAAGGACCAGCGCGAGTCAACCAAGTGGGGTCATAAGACTGGCTTGTCGCAGGTGCAGTAAAGAAGTTGTCTTGTCTGAGCGATGGACATGCTCTGAGATTTTGCATGACTCTGCAAGCCCTTTGACCTGGATGATGCTGACACAAGAAAGGACTGGGTGACAAGTCAGCCCCCAGCGCTGAGCCAGTTGCAATAGGGTTGTCTAGCTGGGCGACTGACAGGAAATACCTCAGATAAGTGCAAAAGCCTCCGCAAAGACATCTGTAGATCACCCCCCTGTAAGCGAGCGGTCAATCACCAAATCTATTCCACTCAGTTCCCTCAGTCAGTTGCCTTTCTGCTGCCGTCCGCTCCTTCAAAATCGGGACAAAGAAGCGGGAAAAAGAGGTCACATCGTCCACAGGCTCACCACAAGCGTATGATGCTTCGAGCAAAGCAACTCATAAAACAGGCCTTCACAGTCACCTCTGACGCATTGAGCCGCAGAAGCGTTGGCATTAACGCAATGAGAATCTGCGGCAAGCTATGCACTGAAACCGTCTTAGACTTTCTTCTGAGACTCAGGACTCAGGATCATAACCCAATCATCGCCAGCCTATAGAACACTCACACAAAATCTGACCATGGCCTGTCTCAGAAGCATTGGTGAGGCCAGTGGCGAGCCGGAGTCAGTGAGTGGTATCCTTTGCACCTGTGCTGAACATGCGCAACCCCGCCAAGGGGTCTCCCAAGCCCTCCCTGGCGCATTACGAAACAAATCCCAAAAATCGCAAACAACCTTTGAGCCTGTGATTGTCGTTGCGAATTCTTGAGTGAATTCCCAATTCAAGTCTAATTCTCGCCTTTAACTCCAGCAGCGCATAGTTGGCCAATGCCCCGATGCTGCGCCACGATGCCTGCACAAGACGGCAGGACAAAACGAGGAACATGTCCGGTGAGCAAGAAAAACCATGTTCCAAAAAAGGACCAGCTGAAACTGCAGCAAAGCCACTAGTTTGTTCTCATTCAAGAAGAGACCCTTAGGATCCAGGCACCCTGCCACTTGGTCACTCAGCATGATCAGCATTCCAAGGTTTCTACCGTAAGGCGTCGTGGAGTTTGGTCTGCCGCAGCCGCGGCAAGACCTTCAATGCCTCTGATCAAGCTTGAAGATTTGGCGCGCTGCAAGAGATTTAGGGGACCAAGCTTGCTGTGAGACACTCTTTCAATGGACCAGTAAAAATCCGATACGCAAGTGTATTAGTTGTGGTTCAGCCACTGCAGCGACAATCAGGACCCCTCTGAGCATCCACACTTTCACCCAGCAAGTTGTTGTTCAAGTGCAATGCCTGCCAAGCAACTGGTCTTGTCCTGATGAAGGGAGGGAGACCAACACACCAAGTCGAAAACTGCAACCCTCTACTGGGACTGCTGGCAAGCCCTGGACTGCGTTTAAAGCTGAATCCAGGATACTACTGAGTCCTGTGATTGGGGTGCAATTTGTTCCTAGTCTGTGTGAGTCAACCCTAGCAGACAATCTGCGGACAGTAAAATACAATTGAACAAGTACTACAGTACTACTCCAAGTTTTGTTTGGCGAGTAAAGCCCGTTGATCTTGGCGCCCTGCTTGCAATGAAGGAAAAGCTGCGATGGCACGGCGCCTGTGATCTGTCAACTCTTTGAGGATTCACGGCACTTGTTCCACTCAGTTCACTACAGCACTGTCCAGTCAGAAATCTTGTTGCTATCCAGCACCTAAGTCAAAGAGCTGAAACTTCAAATCAAAGCTACTCAGCTACTATGTACTGAACACCTTCAACGAAAGCAACTAGCAAGACCTACAGAGCCAAATCCAACCCAGATTGGGAGACCACCCGAGCAAAGAACCAATGACTGCAGCTTCGGTAGTGGCAAGTGACGAGATTCAGCCTCAATGACAGTCCATCCCGGGTCGACCGATGGATCCACCTACTCCCGCTTAAAGGAAGATGGATCATTGGACTGCAAAGCGAGAAGATCAAAGCGAGAAGAGCTTCCAACAAAAATCAGCTCAACATGTTCATCAGCTCAATTGGCCCCCCTGCCACTTCGCTGCTCAGCTCAAGCGGAATTCCCTGTGCCAGAAAGGGTGGACCCATGTGAGTGCACATCATTCAGACTCCCGGGCCATTCATTCTCTGCACCTCCTCCAAGCCATTCTGTGCCAGGTGAAGGTGCTCCAGGTGTGGAAAAAGACCTAGCTCTGGCTTTTCACATCTCACATCAAAGGAATAACACGAAACAGCGAATGCCATGCTCATCTTCAAACTGCTGCATCTTGCAATCCATTTTGGCCGTAGGGCCAGCGTGTCACGCAAGATCACTGCTCTCGGTGTCGGTGGGATTGTCTGACCAATGGTCGGCAGGTTGCAGCATCTCCACTGATTGTGAGCCAGAACGGCCACTCTCACTGTAGCTCTCCGATTCTGCTTCACGTGAGAAAGCCTCCCCAGGCCAACGTGCTGGCGGATATTCGTCCAGGAGGGCCGACAAATCGTCGGGGTGATTGAAACTGGGCAGTTCTTTGATGTCAATTGCTGTGTTAAAAAGAAAAGGCCTGGAACCGAAGTTGAAGGACAAGTCCCAAGCAGCGTCGATACCCACACATGGCCAAAAGCGTGGTTCTGCGAAAGCACGGAGGAGGAAGCACACCCCCAAGAAGCTGCCATTCAATGTAAAGAAGATCCCGAAGCTGTTTTGAAACTTCGCGACCCCACAGCCGACCACATCACCCGGCCCGAACGTTGGCACCTTGGGGCATCCTGGTTGCTTAGATGTGGTCTCCTCATCTTTGGTGAGGTCAATCACGCCATCCTCGCCCTCGACAGCGGTCAAAACAAAGTTTTTGAGGGGGCGGAAGGTCCGGCCCCTCCCGTGTCCATGGTAAAGCTGGCCATCATCGCCATGTAAAGCCCAACTGCTATGATTCCAACCAGCTTGTTGTGCACACAAGCCTCGCAAGGGGATGGTTGCAAGCGCCAAGCCCACTGAGATGCATTCAGTCCTGGCACTAGAAGTGTTGGGCTGCTTCATGGGGCACTTGAGGGAGGGCCGAGCAATTTCCACCTCATAGTATGAAGACGAACGCCAAGCAATTTGCCATGGACCTTTTTCCAGATTCCAGGGGATGGCTGTGGCTATTCCAAGGCGTGGCAATGGCAATTTGGACATCACACATCGGTCTCCACCCAGTGGGGCCTTGAGGTGACAGGAAGTAAATCGATTTGAAATCAAATCCTTGTTGATTTGGACCTCCTCCAACAAGCGGTCAACCAACACTTCATTCCAAGAGCTGGAATGGGCATCCAGAAGGGATGGGAAGCGGAAATCTTCACGATTGTGTCTCAATTCATTGCCTGCTGTCATCAAGAGGGACCCTGAAGGCTTTACGTATGTGGCACATGGAAGAAGTGGACACGCCACGAGATCTGTGTACGCTCGCCACCAGAGTTGTTGGCGCTCAGATTTTGAGAGTTTAGCCCCAGTCACTATCTGGCAGTTACCTCTCCCAATGACGGAGTGCTTGAAGGATTCCGTGTCAAGATTGATCTCTATGGCAGAAGAATCGGAGCAGGTGAAATGTTGAACCTGACTCCTGCAAAGGTTACACCAATACGATTCAATGGTTTGGATATCCGAAAAGGAAGATGCATTTGTCCACTGCAGCCTCAGGAAGCTGCCAGGCTCTAGAAAGCTTGTCCAGTCGGGCGGAAGCAAATCGAAAATATGTCTGAATGGGTCCATCTGGACCTCTACCATTGAGCAATGAGAGTTGCAGCACCCCGATCCAGATTATAAGATGCAGAGCTAACACTAATGTAAGGAAATGATGGTGCACGCTTCTGTCCACAAACCAAAGGTATGGAATCTCCATATCTATGGCAAAAAGCATCACAATCTTGCAGTAATTATCTTTCAATTATTGAGATCTTATGATGTAGATATGGGTCTATTCCTTATCCAAAGGTTATCAAAAGCTGCCCCCTGGAACTTTGGCGCGCCGAGGCCGTCAAGCGCAAGCAAGTCCGCCCAGGTCTTGGAGAGACAATGTGAGGCAAAATAGGCTCGCTGGGTCGATCTGGGTCTCCGGCCACTCTTGTGCTGTTGAGAACGAGGGTACGAACTTTGCAAATGAAAGGTTTGAGCACCAAGCACTCCGAGACACCTGGGCACCAAAAGCATACACTGAATACTTTTTTATACTTTTTGCTCATGTTCACCTTTAGCACTCGTTTTAGCTCTCTCCACTATAGGACTCCTGCTGGTCGGCTTCCCAACTGGAGGAGAAAGGACCGTGGGACATGGCTTCAAGCGAGTCCTCCCACATCCCAGCTTTCACGACTGCTTTGACTGGTCGTGTGCATTTCAAGCAGTGGCACTCCTTGATAGCGATAGCCATTCCAAGTTTGGACACAACTCACAAATAGCCGCCACATCAGCCCACTCGCTGATCAAAGTTTTGTCCTTGAATGTCCAAGCGTGCGTCACTATGGCTGCCCATCCCAGCCTTTACTTTGTAACACTTCGCTTTACTGAGATTCCTGCCAGCCACAGGCTCTTTAGGTTTGGAAAGCTCCTGCCCCCACGACCATGTGGCCCCATGCTCCATGCTGGTTCACAAGTTTACGAACTCAGTTGACCCCTACATACCCCTACACTCCCACACACACACACACACAAATCAAAACGGGGCTGTCCAGTCCCCAGACCAAATATCTTCTGGGTACCGCGTAGCTAAGCAACTCTCCGCCAGCGAAATCCTTGGATGAAGTCATTATGATGCTTTCAAAAGGGCAGTGTGATGCTCTTTCTGAGGAAGTGACTCCACAAAACCTTCCAGCCTTTGTTGGCGCTGTTCAATGTCATAGCGACCAACCAACCTAGCACGACATAGCTGCGTGGGATCTGGATCTCTAGTTGTTTCGTCGGGTGGGTTGCCAAATCGTGCCGGGCAGACTCGACGGATTTGGATTTCTCCCTCCCCTGAGGCAGCAGGAACAAACTGGGCAAGTTAGGGAACAAAGGATAGTTTTTGAATATACAACAATAGAAAATTACGTAAGGCAACCGGTTGCATCCCATGCAAAAAGATCTCATTGGCAAATACTTCCTGTAAACTGGCCGTATTAAAGGGGCCCCTACCTTCCCGTCTTTACTCTCTGTGTCCTCGATAAACTGCTTAAAAGATGATTTTCGCGTGGGAGTCGCAGTTCTCCCGTTAGTAGCTTCTTGTTCCTAGTAGTAAGGCCAGGAGCCCCTACTAGCGTCCTTGCTCCTAGTAGCGATGCCAGGAGCTCCTAGTAGCGTCCTTGCTGCGACATCTGCAAGCACTGCCCCTTCAGTGCCTTTGAGTCAACATACTCCATGGCATCGAAGGTCTCTTCCCGCGTACTCTTCCTCGCTGCCTGATGGAGAAGAAGAAGGGCACAGGATGGAGAAGATAAGAAAGGTAAAGAAGCAAGACGAAGAAGACAAAGGACCCTCTTGGTCATTGTAGAGTCTACATTGTAGAGGAACAATATGGAACGATCAATGCTCGAACAGAGTCCTGAGTGGAAATAGATTGTTTGGGCATCTGTGTGTGGAGACATTATTTTATATTATATACATATAATATATATATATATATTCTTTTGTGGATTTCTTTGCAAGGCAGGGCCAGGTAAGCATGTCGGCAGGTAGCTTGGCAAGTATATTGGAATCTCATGGAATCTCAATCTGCTTCACAGAAAGTGCAATGGTGAGCTCTCACAGGACAAACGCAAAAAAATCAAAGACTTGGCCACGGACATCAGGAAGTGCGGCAGCAAAGTATTTTTCAGCTATGGCCCGCCTAAGCGTTGGCACCCAACTTGCGCACAGGGCCCACCAGAGTCAGAGTCGCCCTGTATCTCACTTCCAAGGACGTCACTGTACGGACATGCCAAGCTCAACTTTCTCCACCTTGGTCCAAAGGATTCAAGAAGCAGTCGCAACAAGTTCTATGCTGGAATAGCCTTTGAGGCTGTGGCCTTTGCAAAGCTTCCATGCCCTTGCCTTAGGTTTGCCAACTGTAAATCTATGGTGGCTACATTGTCTTGACGTCAACATGGACAGCAATCTGAAAAAGACCCAGTTTCGGCAAAGCTACGGACAGGTGAAAAGCTGGTTGCCCTGATAGGACCCGTTGTGCTTGCCCAGTCCCTCCTGTGCAACTCGCAGTGTTGATAGTGCGTCGGGACTTCACCAGTCGTGGAGTACATACTTTTTGTGTCGGTGCCGGATGCCAGGAGGCCGGGTGACGCAATACCAAAGAAGCATATTATGCAGCAGTGCTAGGTCAAGTCTTTTTCTGAACCCCCAGCAGGATCCAATGGTCACGCTCTCCCAGCTTGGAGACATCTCTCTGAGCGCTCGGGGCAGACTCCTTTGCACCTCGCCATACATCACCCCTTGTACTTCTGCCTTTTGACCGGCAACTTTGTGGCCGTGTCAAACGGTATGCACGTGGCCATCAAGCATGCTAAGATGCATCCTGGCCGCAAGGGTCCATCAAGTATGTGGAATGAGTAACAAGTGCCACGCTAGTAGTAACAGGTGCCTTACTAGTAGCAACAAGAAGCTACTAGGAACAAGTGCCTTACTACTAGTAACAATAAGTGACTCTTCATCGATTGATGCCAAATGTTTTTGCTGGCCCTGCCTGTGCGCAGCATAGCGCAACCTGGGTCTCCATGCTGTCCACATGTTTGAGGTTGAAGTCTTCATTGCTCAATATTGCTCACTAGTGTCGCTCACGTCGTCATACTGTATGTCTTGGATCATCCTACCCATGGTGCTACACTACGATGAAAATGCCTGAGCCATGCTACACTGCTACACTCGCCCACCAAGTTCTCAACGCGATGCTTTGAAAGGCAAAGGCCAGCGGCAGCCTTTGGTGCTCAACTCTTTAGAGCATATCACTCAAGCCCAAAAACAATCAGCTTCTCCTGACCACACCACGAAGAATCCGTGAAAGACCCAGTGAGATGGTTTCTAAGCCTTTCATGGACAAATTGGGCTCAGCAACGCTTCACGCCGCATTCTCTGAAAGCGATCCAGGGTGAGTGTCCACATGGAGAGATCCTCTGTGGCCTCCGAAAGAGCAAATCAAGTTGCTGCCGTTCTGCGAGCCACTTCACTTTGCCTAAATGTTTCCATGATTTCATGCCAAGAAGGGGCCACCCTGTAGAATCTCGCAGCCAGTTCGTTGGTGCATATATGAAGAGACTCATGACTCGCATGTTCTTGCATGATCCGTTGCGTGTTGCTCTGGGAAACTGAAGCTTCGGTCTCAGGGGTTCACATTTGTAAGGACGGGACCACAATCTTGTTCTTGCGGGACTCGCCAGTGAACCTGCGTGAGCAAAAGGGGTGTAGATGGGTGTAGTGTGCTCGCTGTTGTGCAAGGGTCTCACCCAGGACACCTTGGCATCCTTGAACAACGGTATGAAATCAGGCCGGGTAGCAGATTGAGCTCACCGGTGAATTGTCCCGGAACACTGCATTCCACAAAACTTTCAACCTGTCTTCCGAATCTGTCGCAGAACTCATCGAGCACCTCAGTATTTCCCACTCCTCTGGTTAACCTGAACTGTTCGTCAACTTTAAAGTGAGAGAAGGGGAGGAAGGAGGGAGAGAGTGGTAGTTGTTGGGGGAGCACAGCTGCTCAACGCAAAGTGGATTGCTTGAGCTAAGCTGTTTTTGGGCCAGGCAACGTCCACATGCCCGGTGACCAGGAGAAAGGCAAAGTCCGCAGGATCGCCGGGCTCCCAAAGAACCGTTCCTTGCTTGGCTCGTTGAAACCTCACTGGACTCAGAGACCCACTCTCCATGCGCGGTGCGCGCTTGTGTGACACTAGGATGCCAAAAGAATTGAACAAAAACATAAAGAAAAGGAGAGAGAGAGAGAGAGAGACAGAGACACACATCTTATGGCAAGGGTGGAAATTGAGCACATCCTAACGCTTTGGAATGCACATGTTTGCACATCGCTTCTGAGTGCCACACTCGAAAAATCCACGAAGCGCAGTGCTACTACCCGGTGGAACACCAAGGGGCTCCAGGAGATCATTGCAAACCTCCTCGAAGAACTCAGCATCTGCCTGCGCCATCTTTGCCAACCCATGCTTTCAGCTCAACTGGGATGAATATCAAATTGATCACGCGCTCACTCACTCACTCACTCACTCACTCTCTCTCTCTCTCTATTTGCTTGATCAATGCATTTCCACCTGTGAAGACTCAGCTTGATGAGGTTTGCTCCTGCAGCTGGAGGGTGGTGTGGCAGCAGAAGCAGGCAGAAGCGATGTAAGGGCCATCTGCTCCACCCCCATCACGGCTGCATCCATGTCCTCAATTGGACCCAGCGTGTCCTGCCTAATTTCCACGTCAATCAACCTTGGATCAACCAATTCAAATTTCTGCTACTGAAGCACTGCTTGGACCATATTTCGCAGGGCTAGAAAAGAAGTGCCTTCGAACAAGTATTCAAGTATTCCAACATGTGCCGCACATAATATGGTACGCCCCAAAGTCACGGGTCCATTCCCTCATCCCGGTCCTTCACAAAAACTGCGCTTGCAAAGTTCGGATGCCGATGCACCTGTGGAGACACAGACAAACACGTGTGATCTGACGCATATGTGAAAGGGCTAGCGGATAGCGGCTATCGGGCTAGCGTCTGTGTTGGTACGATCACTATGTGTACCGTGTACCCTTGTTGGAATCTGAATGGACATGAACTACAGCGGCAGAGCAGGCCTTGGACATCCCATGCAAACCGCTGCAAACTAACGTGATGGAATGGCTTTGCAATGTCCAAGCAAGGCCGTCAAGCTCACCTAAGCAAAATGCACTGGTCTAGTCCTACGGAAGCGCAATGGTGCAAACCGTGAGCATCTTTTGGCTCAAGGGGGGAAAGCCGAAAGTTGCTTCAACAATTGCAAACTTAACAAAAAGCGTCAATCCTAAATCAAAGGCTCTCCGGCTATTCCTTGATTGGCAAACAACACCCGGCCGCGTTTGACTTCTGAATTAAGACTTGAGGTCACAACGGACTGGTTGTAAGGACGCTGCTAGGTGGAGGCCATCACTACTAGGGTGGAGGCCATTACTACTAGTAACAAGAAGCTACTAGTAGCAAGGACGCTATTAGGTGGAGGCCATCGCAAGGAGGTTGGAGGCCATCGCTACTAGTAGCTAATTGCTACTAGTGTGTGAAAAATGTGTGACACTTTCAGATGCGGCCTTGTGGGGCGGGGCACGTTCCACGCTAGGTATTCGAAAAATTTAGAGCCAAAAACGACTGCACCGGCACCGTCACGATAATATATGCATATATATATAGATAGATAGGGCGTACTTTTAATGTTTTCATGATTTTTTCAAAAACATTGGAATAGAGCAGGTGTCTTATTTGTACCTAGCTAATTACAGCAATTTCGGGTCCTTAGCAGAGACACAGGTGTCGAGCTGGCCAAATACATTGGAATAGTGCAGGTTTCATATTAATTGCTAGCTGATTAGACTAATTTGGGAGCTGTCGTAGCTGGCAAAATACATTGAAATAGTGTAGGTGTCAGAGAAATTCCTAAGTTAGCAGAGAAACAGTAAAGAGAAAGAGAACCAGCACAGGAGGCATATATGATTGGTTAGAAGTTTATGCCCCGGGGAGTTCACCTTAAAATATTGAGTTCGTGGCAGGCGCGGGTGTCGGAGATGAAGTGCAGATTTGGTGGCGCGGGGGGTTGGGGGGGGGCGCAGCGCTCCCCCCCAGCAGCACACCAGATCCGAAAGCAAACAAATGGAAAAGCAAAAACAAAAAGAGAAAGGAGAACAGGTGCCAAAGCAGAAAAGCAACAAAAGCAAAGAGCAGAAAGACAAAAACACAAAAAGCAGAAAAGCAACAAAAGCAGCAAAGCAAAAAAGCAACAAAGCAGCAGAAGCAGAAAAGCAACAAAAGCAAAAAAAGCAGCAGAAGCAGAAAAGTAACAAAAGATAACAAAAGCAGAAAAGCAGCAAAAGCAGAATCCGGAAACAAAAAATGAAAAAACAAAAACAAAACGTGGAGAAAAAAATGCCCCTCCATAAATATATATATATAATGATACTATAGTTGCGTCCATATACACAATACATACATCTATACACAAATATCCTTTTCATGATGCACCTCTTCTAATGCATCCCAGCTTGCTGAAAGCGGAGGAGTCAATGCTTATCACTTGCGAAAAGTCAATGATCACAGCTTGAGACTTCACCTTCTGCACCCTCTTGGAGAGAGAATGCGTGTTGCCAAAGAAGAGAACTCCATGAAGTCGGAGAATCAAAAAGCCACCCCTCCGATCAAATTCTTCCAGAATCTGTAGCTCCTTGCAGGCCATCGCTATTGGTTTGGAGGCCATCGCTATTAGTTTGGAGGCCATCGCTATTAGGTTGGAGGACATTACATTGCTAGTAGGCTACAAAAAAGAAAACACTTCCAGAATCTGTAGCTCCTTTTGGCTCCGCATCTTCCTGGATCGGATGCCCCGACCTGGATAGAAAGCAAAGCGCACCGGATCTGATCGGGCGGCCTGGACCACAAAGGCCACACATGCACAAAGAAGGCCAAAAATCAGGCTGAAAATGAAGCTGATATTGCACGCAATAGCAATCACCACCACAATCATATATTCCAAGGTGTCGAGGCTGGGCCAAATGTCAACCAAAGATTCCCAGAGCAATTCGACACCTAAATGACAAAGAAGCAGTCCTGCTAGCATTCTGGGCACCCAGGAGATTACAAAGCTTGCGACGGGAATGCACAGGACCACCACGCAGCCCACACAAATCCCAGTCACCCGAGCACCACCACCACACTTGTGATAGAGAACACTTGAAGAATAGACCATGTATGTTTGTAAGGATCCGAAGATTGCAGAGAAGAGGTTGGCAGCGCCATGTGCTGCCAACTCTTTATTGATGTCAACCCTGCGCCCCGTTGCATGTGCCAGCGCTGGCACATTGACAGGAACATGTAGGCAACTAAAAATCACAACGCCGCAAAGTAACGGGAGTTGATAAGGGAACACTCCCCACGCTATCAGACCGGCATGAAAATCCGAGAGGCGAATGCTTGTATGAGGGATGTCTTTGAAAAACCATCCTTCCTCTTGGGCAGACTGATGTGACCAGCCAAGCAGCGCAAGAGCCGTCCAGCTGCTAGCTACCAATCCAAGGAAAAAGACAGGTAATACGAAAGCGTCTAGTTCTTTGGCCTTGGACAGCTTCAAGCAATAAAGTAACAAAATCTCCAAGCAAAGCAGCATAATGATTTTCGGCCAATGCCGCCCTTGTGCCAAGAGATGCTCTTCATTCCAAACCCAGTTGACTCCGGTGCAAGCACCCAGTCCAGCTGTAAAAATATAGAACCCCATGCCAGCAATACATCCCATCAACACTGGTTTCGGCAGGATCTTAAAGACTCGTTCCAATCGAAAATAACCCAACAGGAAAAATGCAAGTGAGGTGAAGAGTGATGAGGTTGCATATAATGCCAGCAACGTAGGTATGATCTGTTCAGGGCTGCTGGACAGCGTCCCGGACACTGAGATTGCCATCGAGTGAAGCATCGGCGTGTTTTCCACGATCATGCATCCTAGTCCCACGGGAAGGTCAGAGTAGACGGCAAAGACTAATTGTGCGACAGCTGCGGAGAGCAAAACCACTGCAATCCCCAAGCCCTCAGCCCCTGGGAAAAGTAGAAAGCCATAAGGGAAGTTGTCCAAGACCGTGATGAGAACAGCAACCAACACGGCCAAAGATTGCTGCAGCACCCACAGCCAAAGGGGTTGTCTCTTCACACTCCTGAAAGCAGTAACCGAGCCCCATGATGTCCGTTAGAAGGCGGATGTCCAATTCGGGGGCATAGGGTCAACTCTCACATTCAAATCATTCAGCTCACAGCCAACTTGCGATTCGAGTCTCGTCCCTCACAGCCTTTCCACTACGTGGAGTACTCCAGGGAATATGCATATACACAATAGTAGGCCAAATCTGACACACACACACACACACCCGCGCGCGCACTCTCCCTCTCTCTCTCTCTCTCTTTCTCTCTCTCAGCCTCACCCAATATATATATATATGTGTATACTATAAATATATGTGTTTTCTTAATATATACATAAATTCTATTTGTTTATATATATATACGTATTTTGCCTCTTTTAAGCTCTAGACTCTGTGAACTCAGAGAGCTCAGCTTCCGCGAATTCAAGAGCTGCTGGCTCAGGTCGGAATCGCTCGCCATTTATTCGTCCTGGAGCATGAAATGAACCAACAAGACATGATCAATTCGAAGGCAGCAACTCAACTGTTCCACAGCGCCTCCACCGATGCATGGATCACACCAGCCGCAGGAAACTCCAAGTACCACAAACGTGCATTGGGTTCAAAACAGGCCTTCATGAATGTGGTTTAAAGGCATCAAAGGGTTCGTCACTACAGTCACCGTATGCCCCTGGTTTCCAACAATACCAATCGTATTGCTGCATTGCTGTGTCAAGTGTGCTCTGCAGGGCAGGTGCCCATGGTGGATACAAAAAATATCAAAAAATGACCGGCAGGCCTTCTGTCAAATGAGCACTGCATGAGCCAAAAAAGGCTAGCCAGGCATCTGCACTCAAGCACACCCCACACCAATGTCAGATGATCAACTTCACCACAAGGCACCTCATCATATTCCACCCCCACGACCTCTAGAGCCTGAAATCGCGCAGCACGACTCCGGGATACAAACTGAAACTTGTCACCTCAGGTCCCAACTGCATCTGGGTAGCCCTCTCCTGGCTTCTTGGGTGCTTGTAGCTCTCCTGGCCTTAGCCACTTGGCTTCAAAGTTCAAGAAGAACCTGCAAAAACCAGAGAAGTGATTGCCACATTGAGGCAGGCCACCCCCAGCGAATTGTTGCCAAATTCCCTCCAACACGGGCCCGCTGGCCCACCTGAATGTAATTATATACATCCGGTGGATTGAGATTTGACCATCAGCTCAGAGCACGCTTGGACAATGAGCTTCGATTGATTCAGGCCATCGCCAAGCTGTGCTGACCTGCCAACAGCAGCAAGAACACATCACATGGGTCATCTGAATCAAATTTTGTAGCAAGACCTGCGGTGGAAGACTCGGCCATGGCGCTCGATTGCCAAGGCCGCAGCAGTTTTGCAGAATTTCGAATGTAGTGTGTGCGGAGATGTGTGGAGGGTGTGGGACGCGCCTGTGCTTGATTCACATGTCGTGCGGTTCCTTCCAGGTTGCACTCATTCTCAGGTTGCAATCGTGAATGCACTCCACGATGGTGCATCTTTGGCGGTAGCATTGTTTCAAAGCCTGCGGCCGCACGCATGAGAGGACTAGTTGGGAGTGTCCAACCACCATGATGTTCAAACAGCATGCCTGTCATGCCTGGTCAGGTCATACTCACTTTCGCACCATGTTTTTGCAAATCTTCGAGCAACGACTGTACACAAAAAAAACACCTTGCAACCCCACATGCTGAAAGTGGGAAAGCTTGCAAAAACCCTGAGGAACATGCAGCACAAAGGTGTGTCATGAGTTATGACATTCACATGACACACATGCAGCATGCACATGCCTTCAGGGCATGAATTTTGACACAACTTTAATTCCTTCACACGTGCGAAAAGCGAATGATCTCAAGCTCCGCCCTTGGCCTTGGCTTCTTCGCAGTGCCCCTCTCATTAACTGCATGGCAGTGTGTCACAACTCCCCCAACTGTTCTAAGGTCCGGTCAGCAAAGAGGCACATCTTCCTCGCCTGCATTCCAAAGCAACGATAGGGCGTCGCCCAAGTGTATAATTAATGCGTATGCAATGGATGAGTAGGGCTCCAAAAAGAGCTATATAATCTATATAATTGCAATAAAAAAGCAAGAAAATGTTTTTCAGCCATGACATCCGCGAGTCAAGTCGCTGGATATTTGATGCCAAACGCTATTAGAACTGCAACGCGTTCCCAGTGTGCAGGCGCCTTCTCCGCTGCGGACGCCTTGGCCTTCTTGCCCGGCCTACAATTGTTAGTCCGTGCAGCCAGCCCATTTCGCTTAAGCCACTGGAGAGCCACTGACACAGGAGTCTTGATGTGACCTAGTGCAAGCCAAAGCACTGAATGAGAACCTGCAGCACCCTGACAGGCTCGTCAACATCCACTCGGGCTGTCCTTGCAGGGCATCCAATGCATTGGACCCGCCATCTCTAGTGTTGCACAAGCTGCAGCAACCGCAACACCACCCTATCAACACGAATAAAAATTCACGCCGAGTGCGGTGCTGCTCTGCCAGGGTCAAAGACCTGGGCATTTACTGTGCTCTGGAACTGAAGCGGCTATCATATTCATATATGTATACTGTAGATCCTTCTCCCTCAAATGCAAGGAGAAGAGAGAGAGAGAGAGAGAAGAAACATCGAAAACAATGTCCAGGTTTCTGGCGATGGAGTGCTGGCAAGCTCTAAGGCAATCTCAGTCTCCTCATGTTCATCGTCCTCCTGATCAAGTCAGTCTATGTCATTGGCTAACATGATCTAATCCAATATTCCCCGGGTGCTTAGTGGATGCATCGTGGCAAGTCCGACTCTTTCAATAGTATGCGCAAGCAGCCACAGTCGCTGAAATGCCTCTTTGAGGCATGCTGAAGCCAGAAACATACATAACACCTCACATTCTTGAATTGAGTCTCCAAGCTATCCTACGCTACGAATTGCGCGAATTGGCTGCTTGGGAGCGCAGCCACTCTTCAATCTGAGACCGCCGGGCTTCTGCCGGGGGCAAGTTCAATGCTGACATGAATTGGGTCGCCCGGATTTTGCCTTGGCCAAGCCCCCCGCGAAAAAAAGGAGTTCAATGGGACAGGCAACAAAGCCACAGCAAAGAAGGAATCTGGATAAGCCAAGATTGGGGCCATGATCAAGTCTTTGATCCGGATCTGGCTTCGTCAATGCCAGAACAAAGTCACTCGCCTCGTCGCTGGGCAAAGGCCGAGCAGAGTTCCTGGCAATCGGTCCACCATCCCCACAGCTGCCGTCCCACATGAAAGGACTACGCAGCACAGACTAACACGACCCACACGAGCAGCTGGTGCCTCTGCGGAGTTTTGACCTCAAGAAAACACAACCGCCATGCAGATACAGGTCTTGCTTTCCTCTTGGCCGTATTCTAATGCATGATGTATGATGTATGTAGGTCTTGCTTTCTGGCGTGGGCACTTGCGTTCAACCTGGATTCATTCATGGTCAAACTCTGGTGCACATCAAGCGACATACCTTTCCAGCAAACGGTGGTTGTTCGCCAACTTCATGAAATTATGTGCAGAGAATGGGCAGCAGGGTGTCGACCAATCCCCTGCCGCATCACGAATCCCACCGGTCAGCACGTTCCAACATACCACGCCAAAGGAATAGATGTCCGCTTTGCAGTCCTTGTTGGCCATTGCAAGTCTTCAAGCAGTACGGCCAGGAGCCCCTAGTAGCGTTCTTGCTCCTAGTAGCGATGCCAGGAGCCCCTAGTAGCGTCCTTGTTCCTAGTAGTACGGCCAGGAGCCCCTAATAGCGTTCTTGCTCCTAGTAGCGTCCATTGTAAGTGTGTCACTTGAATTAAGTACTTGCAAACTAAGATCGCATTTGCTCCAGTCAAGAGGCATAGGGCTTCTGCAGCACCACTTCAGGAGCTACGTAGGCCGGGCTTCCAGGTGGGCAATTCTGCAGAGTGAACTCTCCCGTTGAGACCAAACCTCTCGGGTTCGTGGTCGATGACCGACGGGTATGACATCTTAGGACATGGCATGGGTAAATCGTCATCTAAGTGTTTGACTAGCAGTTCTTAGTTTTTCTGTTTCGGCATTTGCTGCAGGTTGGCCAGCGTGCCTATTCGTCCCATTCCAAAGTCAGTGAGCTTGGCTCTGCCATGCTGAGAGAAGACCACGTTTCTGGGCTTCAAGTCTCGTTGTAGGGTGCCCAGGACTAAATGCAAGTGCTCCTTAGTGACTCTCAAGTTGGGCAACATCTGCCCCACTGCAGTTGGGCAGGTGCAAAGCATTCCCTTGTGAAGCTGAGGGTCTAAACCAAGGAAGATTTCGGCCAGCCAAGTCAATGCCTCTTTCGGCATATGATACTCACCGAGTAGATGACCTGCATTTACTTTGTCCTGAAGATCACCCCCTGCACAAAACTCCATGACCAAAGAGGAAAACCCTGTGCCGCTCTCAATAAAGTGGTTGCCAAAGATCTGCACAATGAAGGGATGCGGATTCATCAAGACATGGTTCGTGACTTCTCGTTCTCTGGCCACTGTGGCCTGCCGATAAGTGTGACTCTTCTTCACGGCATACCAATGGCCCGATCTGGAGTCCATGGCTCGCCAAACCGTGCCGAACATCCCTTTCCCAAGAATTGCCTCATGGGGGACATAATCTCGTCTCACTGGCAATGGTGAGTTCACCCAATCCGGGATTTGGTGGCCATCCCGATCAATTGGCACCAAGTGGTCCAAACCAGGATATTGCTCTCCCTTCCTCAGAAACTCCTTGATCATACAGTGGTTCCTCGGGCACCAAAGGCGAGAAAAGAACAAACATACACCAAGAGGATCCAAGAGGCCTGCAGTGCAGATCGATTTCTCATGCTGAGTTATAATGTGAGTGATGCTGTGAAATGCTTCTGAGCAGAGCACATCGACGCAAGCTTCTGGCTGTTTCCAGCCTTTCGGGCGCATAAGGAGAAAGTTTCTCCTAGCCACCTCTCTGCCAGGTTTGCCACATCAGATTCTGAGCTTGTGTACCTGGGCGGTCCATAAAATGAAAACAGTTGCTCGATCCTCCAAATATACTGCACACTGTTGCCAGTTCCCTGGTAAGCTACAGGTCTTCTTGCCCTCCCCCTCCCTCCTCTTATCTGTTCAATCTCTTAATGCAAGCATCCCTCACCTCATGTGCATCCAACTGTTTCATCTATGCACCTATGACTCCACTCATTCTGTGCCGTTCCTTCTACAGTAAATACTTATTCGATGTACTATCATCTATGTTTTCTGTGTCTTTCAAACGGAGCTGCTGAGCAATGAAATCCTGTATGCTCCTTGACAATGGGGCCAAGCGCTGCATGACTTCCGCATCACTCTCATCCTCCGATAGCATGCTGACCTGCAAATCTGGCCAAAAAAAGAGTCTTGACACAGGGTGAGCTCTTTTGGCGTCCAAAACGAAAGACTATGGCCTGTGCCGCACACGACACGGCAAGTTTTCCCAGTGTTCAATGTGTATAACATCATGCAAAGTGCCAAATGGCTCTCAGAAACCCAGCCTGATTGCATAAAGACACCAAAAAGCTCTGCATCACCGCAGTGCCCTCCTTTGAATTCTCTGCTCTCACATGAATAGCTGGAGGCAATGCACGCCTTAAGAGCTCCAATCCATCCTCCCCTTGCAGCAGCTGAGCCAAAGCTTGAGCAAACTTGGCCAAGGAGTGGCGCTTTGGATAAGCCAATACACTTTGAAGATTCGGCAAATCTGCCACAGAGCAGTTGAAACTGCAGCGCACAGTGATCATGCCACAACCATTCCCCAAATAAATGCTGTGATCCCTCGAGGTGCCAGCTAGCTCTGTGGTGCTGATGGGTAAGCGAGCCATACCCACCAAGGCATCTTGACATAAACGTCGGACCCGGAACACCTTAATGGTCATTTCCGGGATCCTTCGATCCAACAAAGTGGAAGCTAAAGACATTGACGCTAAGGAAGTCGCACGTGGTCCAAGTCCAGTGGTATGCTCATGCGCGACAATGTCTTCCAGAGTGAAGGGGATGGGTGTGTGACTGAAAGAAACCTCCGAATCCCCTTGGTTCTTCACCTGCACAATCTCTGTCTGACCTTGTCCTCGGCCCACTGAAATGGTGACATACATTCGCCAGCTATGGGGCTTCCCTTGAAGCCAGCGGCAGATTTTGATGATGTTATCACCATTTAGGGCTGTAGGGGTCTGAAGCTTGCTACCTGTTCGGACTTTCACCCATAGCAAGCTGCTTGGTGAGGGCGATTCCGAACTAGCTGTGGATTCACTCGATGTCGAGTGCCCCATGAGCCACCGATCATTTCGCGTTCCGGCCTGTGCCCTTGAGCCAGGCTCCAACCCCACACATGGACAAGCCAACAGCTGGGCACAGCAAACCCACACCTATGGCCGATGCTCCGAAACTTTGGCCGGGACGCAAGGTTCTTTCACGACAGGCCGTTAAAAGCGGTCAAGCGGGTCTGGGTGAAAGCAAGCGAGAATCAATGGATTCTTGCAGCTGATCACCAGGGCACAGCCAACTCTGCTGCGCCCTCCGTATATGTCTGTACAACGATGCAAAGCAAGATGCCACCGTTCAGCAGCCAAGCCAATCTTGCAAGCCATGTAGCCAGCATCTGAAAGCCCACCAGCTGCTTTTTGAGCTGTGATGGTGCTATGCTGCTGGTGCAACCCGAGTATTGCGTAGGCGGCAGGCTTGGGCTGCTTGCCCAGAACGCCACTCCGAGCTGCCGGGCCGCTTCCTTTGCTACGAGGGCAGTCTGCTCCAGTCAAGTCAAGATTGGGAATTGGGAGTCAATAGGATCATGGAGATGTCATGCAAATGCAGAAGATGTGATAAAAAGTGCCCACAACCCATTGTACCGAGGTGCATGCGATCAACTTCTGTCAATGCGGCCTTTGGAGGTTTCTCAGGCCAAACTCGCACGACATCCATGATGCTGCTAGCCATTCCTTGGAAATCATCACTTGGTCCAACATGGGTCCAACAGCATGTCGCTGGAATAGCTTGCAGCCAAAAGTCCGAGCACTCCGACTGTGGCATCACCTAAGTACTGAAATGTCGCTAATATTCAGCACAGAACAAGAACTACATAGCCACTACCAAACAACATGGGCCTTCAAGACATCTCAAGACCAAAAAGGTGTCACTGCAACTGCCACCACTGGGCTGCCACCGCGGTTTAGTTTGAAAGAATAAGACCAGAGTCATCAGTCATCTTGTTCCATCTTGCATGCAAAGCACCAATTTCCATCCAGCGTGAGAGGTGAAGCGCCTGAACAGCCACGAGGCTGTCTCTGATGATGTTCCAGGCCTGCGCCTGTTCGGTCCAAAGTTGCACTTTGGTCATCATTTGACTTCTGTGATGCAGGGGGAGGGAGGAGAGAGGGAGGCAGGCAGGCAGGCAGGCAGGCAGGCAGGCAGGAGCGAGTGATTGCGTGGGTTTGTCTGTGTGAAAACTCACGGAATCTGACTGGCACACAGATGCACACACTACAGCGTGCCTTTCGGTTGTCCCCGCTGCTTGCGTCAGGATGACTCTGATCCTTGCATGCATTGCGCAGCCCAGCCACCCTGGAATGTGCAGAGTGCAGGCTGGCGGTTGGAAGGCAAATGGCTTCGCAACATACAATATTGAACACTCAATTATATAAGCTGTCCAGCACTGAAATGCTGCTAAAGCACACAGAGATGAAACTCGAAATTGCCAGCCACTTGAGTCCAAGTTGGATTGTCTTTGACCCACTCTTCACACCACGGTGCACCTGCACTGCAACTGCACTCTACAAGGCTCTCAGGCGTCATCGTCTCCTTCTATCCCTACCTGTCAATGCACCAATGCACCACCATGCACCTGCTTCAGCCATCCCACATGGTCCACCACAAAATACACCACAAGAGCTGCCTGCAAGTCTCGCCCCCACCCCACGGAACTGCCAACACAGGAAAGTCAGGAGAATAGTAATTAGTAATTAAATTAGATGTAATTACAGTAGTATCTTTAGGATGTTGCGTTAGGCCGTTGGGTACAAAAATTGAGGAAACTGCACCCTTCGTTGAGTCTAGTCTGTCTAGGCTTGAAAAAAGCATCCGAACGCATTGACATTGTCTTATTGCCGATCTACCGATCTCGATACAACTTCCCCATGACTCAACATCAGCGCTTGTTCAGTCCAGTGTGCGTGGGCACTGGTATTGCAAATATGGCACGCCCAAGACAAATACATGCAAGTGCGCGATGCACTTGGGATCTGTGGGTGCACTGCACCCTGTGTGCGAAACATACGCAATAAGTCTTGACTGGATGCTCTCCCTCGCTACAGTCTTCATCTACTGTAAATGGTTCTTGGGATTGGATTTCGTTGACTGTAAATGTTCAATGGCTGTCTGTGCTGGTGGGGTCACCTGGCTAGCGCCCCATCACTCTGTGTATGACCTCCCTTCTGGGGGGCCCAAAAGACCTGGTGACACATTTTGAATATTTCTGTGTAAAGCATTGTAAAGCTGCTGGCTGCTGGCGTTGCCTTCTGCGCGAGTTCCAGCAGTCGATCTGCAAGCTCCGTCTCATTTGTCATGGTCATCGAGAGGAGCACAGGCAGCTCTCCTTGCTGCTGTGCCGGTATCCGACGAACCAACGAACTAACTCCTTACAAAGTGGTGGCCAGCGGTAGAAAGTCAACTTTGGCAGATTTGCAGTCTTCGGTTAGAGTCAAACTTCCAGCAACAAAGTGCTTCACGCTGATCCAATGCAACTGGGTTTCTGCCCAGGCGGAAGGTTCGCCTGGCACTGGTCATTGCTGCCAGGACTTTTCGAGCTTCTTCCCGATATTTACAGATCGTGCCGGCCTTCGCCTGGGCATTGACATTTTTCACAACAAGTGTTGACTCCAAGAGTGTCCACTGACAGTCTTCAAACTTGAGAGGAGGGAGACACGAAAGGTAGGACAGCGGGAAGAGAAGAGAACGCGAGAGGCAGGAACAAAAATGCAATGTTCGACATGGTGATTTATCCCCTCCGAGGCGACCTTTCGTAAATATATGTTCATATGCACTCTAAATGTTCAATCATATGCTCTCGAAATGTTCAAAAAGATTCTTAGGAAAACAAACTTGCCCCATGGCTCAGATCATCGGTGAGCATTGAATCGGAGCATCATAGGATTTGAACTATCCTGAAACCATAAGAGGCTCACGAAGACGTTCCCCAGGAGAGAATTGACGTGCTTCACAAAACAAACTCTAGGTATGTATCCCCTTGGGGAACACCTTTCGTGATTAGAATTTCATATGCACTCTTTCTGAATGTTCAAGAGGGTTTCAACTATCCTGAAATCATGAGAGGCTCACGAAGACGTTCTCCAGGAGAGAATTGAATTTAGAGGGGTCTGTATCGAAAAATCAATTCCAAGGGGGCGGGGGGGCAGGGGGGGTCTGTATTGAGAAATCAATTCGAGGGGGGGGGGGGGGGTTGAATTGAATGGTCAATTATTAGACCCGGACGCGCCAACACTTGCTTCGCAAGACAAACTCAAGGTATCCCATAAAGGGCTACCTTTCGTGAAAAGAGGATGGTAAGGATCCTTTAAGCAGAGCACTTTTATGGGTCCCTCCTCTTTTGTGACTCTCCCCGAACTTAATCCTCAACACTGGCCAATGACTAAACATGTGCCAAGCTTGAATGAGAAACGCGAGCTGTCAGCCCAACAACGAAGCGGGCTGCAAACTGCAAGAAGCGAGCAGTCTTGTCACGACCTTCATACCTGAGCAGGTAAGAGCAAAAGCCCTTGCGTCGAATAATATGTCGGTTAGCATGCTGGCATGCTGGACTTACTGGCATTCAGTTGTTGTAGCCAAGACGCGACTGGAGCACGGTGCTGACGTTTGCGAGTGAAAGCCTTTCCAGCGCCGACGCACACCCAGAATGTACCGTCTGCCCCGGGCACTGTGAACAATAGCATCAGTTTTGGTGATCGGATGGCTGAGATGATAGAACATTGGGACACTTTCAGCGCTTTCAGTGCAAAAACAAAAGGACGCTACTAGGAGCAAAGGGCATCGCTACTTTCAGCCTACAGTACTCCTTTGGTGCTTGACGCTTCACTCCTCTCAGCAATTCCAGTGCATCCATGCGAATAACTCTAAACTCTACTGTGAGCCCAAAACCCTGAAGCATGAACCCTCTGTAATGGGGCAGATGGGTACTAATTGTCCAATTAGCCCAGAAGCTGTGCTGGTGGCATGGCTTCAAAGGTTGCCCCTAGCACTCTAAGCTTGCAAAACTGCTTGGAGCCAAAATTCCGCAGCAGCATGCCGATGTAATGCAAAGAATGGACCGGTGAAAAAGGACAGCTGGGATGACATGGGTTGATGGTGAGCTGGCGTGAGCCTGAAGCTTCACTGGAACTTGAAACTGATCGTCAGCTAGGCTTGGAGGAAGCGGCCTGGCTGTCTCATTCAAGGGCAAGACTCACGTCTGAATGCTCTGAATGTCCGACACAAACACCGCCAGCTCTGCCCGATGTTCCCATCGGCATCCATGAAAAGTCCGTGTCCTTCAGAGCTCAGAGAGGACAACTCCACAGCGATTCACCCAGTTTGCCTCTCCGTGCCTGCAGTCCGTGCGTTTCTCCAGAAGCTGTGGTATCGTCGTCCATCAGGCCTTGAAGACTCTAAGCACCCGTAAGGTAAAGAAGGAAAAACACAACAAATAAGAAAAGAATGCACCAAACTTGGCAGCAGCTGCACCAGGTGCAAGGAGCATAGTTATGAGGCACCAACCAGCGAAGCGTTCCGAAGCCAAAAGCAAAATCCATGTGATAAAGCCCAAGATGCTCACCTTGACTTCGTTTCATATGTTTCGATTGTCTCGTGACTTGAAACTCCTTGGTCCCCCTACGTCCGTCAGGCCAAGTATAGATTCCCCGTCCTCAGATCTGAGAATGATCATGCCATGAACTGCAGAGGGCGAAAAGTTTAGAGGCTGTCTCGGACACCCGCCATGCTTCTTGGCTTGTACAAATTGGCCCCTACCCGATGCAAGCGCAGTGCGGTCAAGCATGCTCGGAAACCACCCTCGAGTGTACACTGCTCTGGGGACCTGTAGCTGCGCGAGCCCCCTTCTGATGTCAGAATGCCATAGCCAGCGGAGATGCCTGCGCGCCACCTGCTGATGCTACAGCTATGAAGGATAGAAGGAAATGACATCTCTCGAAGGCATGAATATTGACTCCACACTTGATTTGATGACAAAGGAAACTTTGTCCACTTGGAAGGTGATGGCTGAGCCGGCTAAGCAATCCGCTGCCCCACATAGCGGCTGCCCTCATCCCACTTTCCAATGCCAAGGCCTTCCTGTGGGGTAATCACACGCAATCGCAACAAGAATAAGTCACATGCCAAGCAGCGTGGCAACGTGTTGATGTACACAACGCACATGTTCGTCCTTCTGCCCACGGCAGAACTCACCCCAGTACGTCGACCCCTTGGCAGGTATAAAGCCAAGCTGTCTGACTGGAGTGGCACATGATCACTAGCAATAAGGGCATCGCTATTGGGAGCTCTATCAATATCTATCATCTATCCAAACTTACTGCGCTGGGTCGCTAGCAGGGCGATTCTCTGAGGTGGTGCCTCAACTCTTGGCGGAGATGTGTTGATTGAAATTAATTATATACAGTACAATTGTCAGAAAAATAGTAAACTCTATCTTGTCATTGATGGTTGGAAGGTGCAAAGCTCTCTCAGCAATGTCCAGATCAATCTTTTGCCATTTTCCGGGCGCCAACCAAAGATTCTGAATTCACCTTCAGAATCGTTCCCCATCGCGTAGCTCCCAAGTTGCTACTTAGGTATACATAAATCAATACATATAGCCAGCAGTCTTCGCTGCTCAATTAGTTGCTGGAAGCGAGCGGTCGACCTTTTGGAAGATGAATATTTACACAGTCGAACCATCAGATTGGAACTCTTAGTGAGACGCAATGGCTTCCACGACCGTCATGACAAACGGCTTGAGTCACTTCAAACTTTAAGCCACCTTCTTGTCAGGAAAGTTGGCCTGCCATGAAAGATGCTTAGAACAGCTTTGCAACATTGTCACAGTTCACGTCAACATGGAGGCGTGAACTTCATGTATGAATTCCATCTGAATCTCTGTCCTGCTCCGCTAGAATCTTTTGGATTTCCGTGCGCTTGAAGACGGTCGCCAACTTGAGTGCAGTCCTGAGATAAACCCAGCAAGAAGGCGGCAGGTTGAAACAATCAGGAGCGAAGGACATGCAAGAGACTTAAGACCCTTCTTCATCAAAGTCGAAGGCTCATAGTATGAGACATCCTCGTCATCTGAGCGCTGGAATCACAAAAGCCAAAACATTATCCAGCGGCACTACATGCGGACTTGGCCTCATTCCATCCTCATCTTTTGCTTGAGTGTCAGCTCCGTTGGCCACAAGGCAGCGAACCACATCTGAACAGGACTCGCTACTGCCATTGTTTATGGGGTGTCTTTCAACGTTTTCCTCTGGGCTTCACCTTCAAAGCAACGTTGCTGCAAAAGGATGTCACAGTGCGGATGCGGTGGCCTTCGTTCCCATTGACAGCAGCCCACAGCAGTGGAGTCAGCTGTCCATTGTCTCGTGCTTCCAGGCAGGCCCCAGAGTCTATACACAGCTGAACAACCTCCTGAGATACAAGGGGCGCGTACGAAGCAAGTCTAATACTAAGGCCGGCTGCTAGGAGAAATTGAACCAGCCCACATCTGATTCATCTGAGAAACCAAATGACCATAGGCCGCAGCCAAAGACAACGGTGTCCTTCCAGTGTCGTCCAAGGCCTTGGTCGATCACAAGCTCCTTGCGTGCTGTGGTCCTTGCGGTCCAGGCCTCCAATTGTGCGCCACTTTCCAGCAAAAGGCGTGCACTCTCTGGGTCATTGATCACCTTAGTAACAAAGGGCATCGCTACTGCTACTAGTAACTAGTAGCTCCTCTCATTACTACTAGTAACAATGTTCGCTACTGGGGGCTCCTGGCATCGCTACTAGACTAGGAGCAAAGGGCATCGCTACGGCTCCTGGCCTTACTATTAGTAACAAATCTCTATCGACATACATCGACCCAAGGGCCACAGCAGGCCACGAACACGTGAAGATTAACCAAAGGTTGAGGCACCGCCGCGCAGGCCAAAGCAGTCCGCCCCTGGATGGTGATCGCTTCTAGGGGAGCTCCTGCAGCAAAAAAACAAACTCGACTCGACTGGTTTCTAGGCACGAAATATGAGCGCAAGAAAACGCAAGAAACTTCATAATGACAATGACAATGATCGACATGTCTGGCAGCAACTCAACAGGGTGCTGAACTTCAACTGGAGCATGTTGAGAGTACGGTTTCGAGTCACACGAAAAATAGTCTCCGCAAGAGCCTGTCTCCAGGAGCGGCTTCACCTCTTCCTTCCTTGAAGATTCACGGAGCAACGGGCGTTTCGCATTGTCGAGCCTTCATTCAGACAAGGCTCTTCCCCTGCACAATTGCTGCAGCAAGCAGCGCCTCTTGCGAAATCTCGATATACTTTGGAAGCTTCGCCTGGGCACCGGGCTTGCCTTTGATTTGCTCATTTGACAGATTGTCCATCTGAAGACCTGCCAGGTTTAAGGCCGGCACTCCTCCAAGCGCATCAGAGAGGGTGGCGTGCAAACGGACGTCCACAGAGGTGGGGCGCAGATTCAAACCGCTTCGAGGAGTTCCTTGGACGTCAAAGTAGCCATTGAAACATGTCAAAAATATAAGCAGCCTGATGAAAAAGCTGTCTTTTCATGCATGTGAGTGGGGGCCTTAAAATGACATCCAAATGTTTTCGTACGTCTCCTCTTGCTCAAAATGGCAGCTCGGTTCATAGGTGAGAGTTTGTATTTTTGAAAAAGGACCAAGGATCGAGAGCCAGTGAACGATTCCTGAGCTTAGAATTGCTAGAATCGGTAGCAAACCAAGCGATTTGACAAACAGCTCCCTGGCTGCAGTCAAGACGCAATTGAGATTGCAAGAAGCTGGGCAACGAAGCACAAAAGCACACCACGAAGAACCGCTCGCATGGCAAACATACCCCGTCAAAAAGCGCAATAATACTGCAGGAAGTCTCCATAGCAGTGATCTGCGAACCCGTTCAGTACTTGTTCCGTTTGCCTAGTTGCATGTAACCCACCACACTAAAGACATCTTTAGACATCTTTAGACTCAGACCTTCTCCTTTCAGCCTGGAAAATGGCGGAATGCGCTGTGGTAGCCTCATCTAGCCCTTGGTACACCCCTGGCTTTGTGGAAAACTTATACGTTATATAAGCGCCAAACATATCAAGAAACAAATGTCGATCGAGTTCTGGCCAAAGTGTGAGACGGCCTCTGTCTTTTTGAGTTACAGACTTCAGAAGCTGTCTGCAGAGCTCTCTAGAGGTGTCGTGATGATGATGATGACAGTCAAACAGCACAGCGTTTCGGTACCTGGAGAGGGGAGTCGCTTGATTCCGTGCCAGGCCGCCAGGCCTTGTTAGATAGCAAGCCATGTGGTTACGTGGTGACCTGGAGTCCATTCACTTTGGAAGAACTACTCCGAAGGTCTGGCTTCCAAAGAAGGTCAAATACGGCACCGTGCCCTTGTGGCGTGGACAAAAAATCTTTCCATCCCAGTAGGATGCCCGAACATACGCGTGGAGTATGGAACAAGAAAGTATGTAATGCGCATCTTGGCCAGACGAAGCTGTCAAATCAGCGTGCACTTGAATGACCAGGTGCGCCACACAGCCATAGAGGGCAAAAACTGGAGACTCAGGGGACTCGGGCGAGACTTGAGGAGGCCAATCCAACGGCTTCCAGCCAGGGCTACAGCATCCACCCAAGGCTGACGAGAAGCACTCGATTTTATCAACTACTTCACCACTACTGCCACCAACTTCCAGCACTGTCTGCGCAAGCTCTGCACTTGGAACGTTCAGCACAAAGAGCCGCTGAGCAAGGATTCCAGAAGCGGAGTGCCGACGTTTATTGATGGAGCAAATCAAGCGACCGTGATTGTCGATGGGCGTGAGCCAACTGATGGTCATCAAGTTGCGACGGAGTCTTTCATCGCAGGAGCTTAGAATACAAACCGGGTTCGTGTAAAGCAGTCGGCTCAGTTGAGCAGGCTTCACCATGCAAACCTGCAAAGGAGCCTCCAAAGCAGTCGACTTTGAGTAAGCTCCAGCTTCGTGTGCATCGACCGAACTGGGCAGCAGCTCTTCAGCTCCATGTGGAGTCGGAGTGTCTGTACACTCGTCTCTTGACCCTGACCGTCCTGATCCCTTTCGGCCCTTCCACAACTTGCTGGCCAGTTGTGTAACCAATCCTCGGAGAAGCCGCAGCTGCTCACTTCGAAAGAGCTCTTGATCTTGGAGCAAGTCCGTCAAAAGCTCTTCACATGTGGCCAGCTTTTCTGTGAGCTGAGCCATTCACACAATCCATGGCTGCGGCTATGCAAGCTGCATTCTGCCTACTCGCCCGTTGGGTCGAGCTGCAACTGACAGCATCAACAACGTAGGACACCAATCAGAAAATGCGCCATGACTCGACAAGCGACACACCAAGACTCGCCAACCCAATCATGAGTGTCACACAGGTCTCCACTCCAACGCCATCTCGATGACCATGAACCTGTCTGTCAGAAGCTTTTCGGGCAAAGAACAGTGCAATTGAAGCAGAGATGTTGCAACAAACGCTAACAATCGTGACACTGCTTCCCTCAAAACCCTCGAGGTGATGACACAGCCAAAACATGCGGGAAGATTCTCATGGAATCTCCAAAACCGAAGATAGACCCTGGACCATACTGGACTGTCTGCAGACCTGTCGGCGCCGCAGAATCTGAGCAGCAAGCCCACTCGCCGTGGTATGATGATCCATCTGCCAGGTAATGTGATCCATAACCTTGCTCGAAAACATTTACAGCGCACCGTAAACCAAAATTCCGTCCAAGGGAATGATTAAAAACTAAACCTACCTGCCGGCGGCTTTTGAGAGGCTGACCGTGGAAGCGGTTTCCACGCCATTGGCCCAAGTACACCTCAGATGGGAGGAAGGAAGTGTTTGAAAGGGCTGCCATAAACGAAACCAAACCCCCAAAAAGCCAAGAATAACCTGAACGATCATGAAAGTACTCAGTTTTTTTGATCCGGGCAGGGGAGGAGGATTCGGAGGATCTCTTCTCAGGGCCACCCCAAGAATTCAATACATCCAAGCTCTTCACGGAACCATCTGGAAACTTGAATCGTCCATACCTTGCACATCAGCTCAGGCCCTAACCTCAACACGTTTCAAGACACTTCACTAGGCCAGTGACCCGGAAGCACTGCTGTTGGACCAGCAACCCTCGTATTGTGCCCCATCTGGCCTTGTCATCGTGCAGAAAGGTGCGTGAGAGGAACAAGGTGGTCATCGGGCAGACGTGAGAGGAACAAACCTTTAAAGGAGCTACTGGTAACAAGAAGCTACTAGGAACAAGTGCATCGTACTAGGGGCTCCTGGCCTTAGTACTAGTAACAAGAAGCTACTAGGAACAAATGGCAGTGTCACTGCAAATCACCGGTGTCCAAGAGTCGCGCCAGGTTTGGCGTCCAAATCCATGACGTTGATTTCCACACCACTGGCCTCAGGTGCCACGAGTTGCTGCCAGCTGCTTCTTCGTTTTGCATGCCTTTATGATGCTTTGAGTGTTTTGCGTAACAGAATCCGACTAGCTTGGCATTCCAACACTAAATGAGTTGCTCTGTTGCTCCCAAGCCCTTTGCCCACATAAACCGCACCAGAATGGAAGCGATGTGGTGGCCTCAACGGTCTGTTGCAAGACTGTCGCAGAGGCTACACACTCCACTGGGGGTACGACCGTGGCCCTAAACCTGCGCAAAGGTCCACAAAGTCCGAAGCTCAGTGCCAGTCAAAACAGCTTTGGCCAAAGCGGACTCCCATTTAATCATTTAGCACCTAAAAGGGGTTCTCTGCGAAATCAGTTGCTTTCTCCCAACGTGTTGCGGCTGTGCTGGTTGGACGGCTGGCACGGAGGGTGTGCAATCTAAACGCAGCAACTGTGCCATCTTTTTCCCTATGAGTGCAAGGGGCTAGTAGCAGCAATCGCAATCCTTGGCACTGAAGGCCAGAACTACAATTTTCAAGAATTTCGACATTTAAGATACAAAATGTAACAAAACGAACTGCCGCAGAGCATCTGCCTTAGAATTGCAGCCGAGGATCGAAGGGGCAATTTGGACTTCCACCACCCTGTCCTACCTTTATCAAGTGCGCCTTGAATATTCGCAGGTTGTCGTCGGTGTGCCTACCAGTCCAGCCCTCTTTGTTGTAAATGCCTCCTAGGCCATCATCCGCCCAATCACCAGACCTGAGAGGAGCAGCATGGACACACAGCTGGAAAATGCTTCAGGTCCCTCGAAATGGTTCATTGAACAAAGCACTTCGTGACTCCATGTTGTCCATCTACAAATCAGGATGCACAAAGCTTTCACCACTTCAACCTACCATTGCATCACAGGTAAGCCCAGAAAGCTGAGGCTTTCACCTGCCAAGAGGATCATCAATCGATCCATTTTTGGGACGCTTGGCACGTCTCATAGCCTTCTTTTTGGAAGCGCCTCCATTTTTGCTTTTGCCATCCGCTCCTCTCGTCTGCAATGCACAGATGAAAGCGCCTTTGGCCAAGGCAGACATCACTTATGTACTAGACTAGCATCACACGCACCACTCCAGACTCCAAACGGAAGCCCTCTGTCCTGCTGAATCAGTAGCAGGGCGCTTTGCTTTTGCAAAGATCGCATCAATTGACTCCACTGGAGAAGATGGTGGTGCAGGCGGAGCCTGTGCCTGCGCCAAGCTGGCAGGCATCGTATTGTCTTCACGCCGAAGGAACTCACAGGCCTCACAGAGCTGCGGATCCAGCTTCCACCACACATGTCAACATATGTGACAGGAAGCAAAATTGGAAGTATCATAAAAATGGAACGTAATGGCCTTCACTGCAGCCTTGGCTGCTGCCTTCTTTTTCCTCTTTAGGCTGCGCTTGCTTAGCCTCATCTGTTCATGTGCCACGCACCGCCACACCCAACAGCTTCATACCGCTTTAGCCGAACGGCACTACCTCCTCAGCTGTCACATTGGATGAAGACTGAAGGACTGCGCCCTCCTGCTTCGCCCTGGGAGTCGAAGTGAAAGAATGCAAGCAAAAAGTTTCAAGGATTGATCATCAGCATACCTGACGGCAAGTCACTACAAGAAACATCTGCATGCCAGTTCCTAGCAACATTATGGAGCCCAAAGAGACTGGCACAACTACCGCATATCATTTTGTCAAGCCTGTCCTGGAAACAAAGCATATTCTAGATGCAAGGCTCTCAATTGTTCAACCTACTTGCCCCAGCCATCGAGCAAGAGTTGTGGATCTTCTAAAGTGTACATAACGCAGATTCGATCCAGCGTCCTCTGCTCCTTCTCCTGCTTCAGCTGCTCTCTCTTTTTCTTCCGCATCTTTGGGGACTTGGTTTCAGAGATTCCTAATGATCTTGACTATTGAGACTGTTGACCCTGTTCTGAGTTGTCATAATCATTAGTCATTCCGCAATGAAATAAAAATATAAGCTCAAAGCACTGGCCTTACTCTTTCGTGGTCACGTGCTCTTTTCTACGAGCTTGTGTATATATATATATGACATTTGGTCCAACACTGCTGCGGAAAGCAGGCTTGCCAACTGCCCCTTCAAACCTAGATACCTAGATGGGTTGACTTGCACCAAATCCTGCATCGTAAGTTGTTCGGCTCTAATTCTTTGTCTGTCTCTTGGGGAAAGGAGTTTTCACCACTAAAGAAAAACCTAAAAAATAGTTAACAAGATCTAACAAGTACAGCATACAAAATGTCTTTGCTGCCTTTCACGTTCAATCTTCTCCATGCCCAGTTCAAGGCACCTCGAAGTTCAAAACCTAGAACACCCAAGATTCGCAGCTCGTCCAGCCTCAGCTTTCCGGCGCACTTCAGAGAACAGTGTTGTTGGTCCTTACGGCAACTCCACAAAAAAAGAACAAAGTGAGTCAAAACCCTGGTCTACAGAGTCTACACCTTAGCCTAAGCCCTTAGAATGCACAGAATGGCAGGACTCTAAACACAAGAACCTTCACCAATGGTTGGGGACCCGTCTATTGGGCCTAACACCCATCTGAGTCGGAAGCTCTTTCTCGAAATGCTCCGGCCATCCCACTGCCCTGGACCAAAGGGTGCTCAAAATGCAAAACATGTTCAGTGCTCCTCTGTCCTAAGGGTGTCCGTGCCTTTGATAGGACGCCTGGAGCATGTGGGTGGTCCAGGATTGATCCTGAAGAACTGTACCAGCTGTAGGTAGCCATGCCATGTAGCTTTTGTCTTTTCCATCTCTTAGCACCTCGAAGGACTTCCCTTCCGTATCCCATACTTCTGCAACCTTAGATTTAGATGGGAGTCAGGAGTCTTCCGCTTCGAGTGAACAAACAAAATATCATGACTTTCAAGCCCAAAGGTACTCTCCTCTAGCGTTACAGCATAATTGATATCAGTCTCCTTGCTTGTTTTGACACGAGTGACTGTCTCGCTAGCTGTCTCGCAGCACAGTGAGCGGCAAAGTGGGGGAGTAACCTGGTGAATCTAGTGAATCATTCAGGTGAACCGAGTGATTCTTTCACTGCTGTGAGACAGCACATGCACATGAAGCACATGTCAACCAAAGGCGAAGAAAACCTGTCATGTCCGCCTCGAAGCTGAACCAATCTGGGGATCTCTCATCCCCTGGCTGTGTCGCGACTTGGGCCTGAGAAACATTCGGCTGATCAACATGTCCGTGTACAGTTTCGAGATGGAAACAATCTTGCAAGCGGTGAGGCTGAGAGTTTTGGCAAGGCTCCTAAGTTCTGCACTCCCATGCGTGCTAGGCAGCTTTGATGTGGGACACGTCTGGTATCTAGTGACCAAGTGGGTAGGGACGGCCCAAATCTCTAGCTGATCTCTTATATGCACAATTCATCACAATTGGTCCCCGCAGATTTTGGCAAGAAAGTTCCATCTCTCAAATGTTGAGCATGCTTTGACTTCAACTGCAGATTGTCCTAGGACAAGCTAGGATTGGTTTGAAATATGTGGCTGCGGGTCACTCGTTGCATATCCAGCTTGTTAGCCACAGCTGCCAACTGCCAAGTCTAGCACTGGACAATTAAGAGTTCCGCTTGGCTCATTTGTGCATTGCGCTGCGTTGCAGGACTGCACTTGGTTGTTGCTAAAGATCGAAAAACATAAGACACATTGAAGAGGAAGAGGTCAGCCACAACCTACTGTTGTGGTCACTATGTACAACACACATCTCCAACAATAAATTCAGATTGTCTTCCATGTCACTGTATTTCTCCGGTCCTGGTCGGGACGACGACGACGTCAACGGCGACGTCAACGGCGACGACGACGACGACAACAACAACAGCAACAGCAACAGCAACAACAGTAGTAGCCTCGGCAGCAACAACTAGCAATCTGAAGATGCATGTCCCTTTCAAGCTCGGACAAAGAGTATGCAAATACAAGCACATCGGAGACGACTCACTCCCGTCAGCGCCCCTTGTACTCTCCAGCTCTGACACCTCGCCCAAAAGTAGTCTCCTGCGCCGTGAGGTCCAAAGTGATCTGGAAAGTCCTTACCATTGGCTCGGCTGGCGTTGTTTTCTAGGAGCCCTTCAAGAGCAAGCAGCGGCAACTGAAGGACAGGCTTGTCTGGCGAAGGACTATAGATCGAGAACGGGACCTCGGAACCTGCCAGCAAGCAGCGCAAGCTCTGAGCTTCCAGGGAAGAATCTTGGGCCACGGCCATTGCCGTGAAGCGGCGGTTGGCTCACAATGACCTGATGGGATATGAGTGGCACTGTCTCAGAATAGGTGCCTTGTGAAGGATGAATCCCTTGACCCGCCTCTCCAGAGAGTCCTCCAGCCTGTAGAGGAAAGAAGACCTGAGATTTGACTTTCCCTGGCAGCATGACCTCAGCCTCCAGCAATAATTACCTTTTTTACCCAATACAGTATGGTTGAGCCATCAGCCCAACGGCTATCACCATCAACAGCCACCTGTCATGGAAGCAACCCAAGAAATTCTATTGACAAAGTGAAGCTGCAGCTGGGCAAACTTGCATAATTCTTGCAAACGGACAGTTGGGCACGGCACCTGAAAGTTGAGGAAGTAGGCACCAGCCTCCTTATCAAAGTCCTGTGGGGGGCCCAGAGTCTCTCAAGGGCCTAGCCATGCAACATCCAAGCAAAGGCCTTCCCCACCACGACTGAGCAGGTGAAAATGCCAGGGCGCCGGGAATTCATCCTTAATGAGATCGCAAGCTCTCTGCACCACCAATGCTCAGCTGTCAAAACCTAGAAGCTAGCACTTCCAAAGTCACCAGCTTTCAGCTGAGATCAGAACGTCATTGGAATACTCTGGCCTGCTATTGATAGCTCAAGCTGGCCAGGCTTGTGACAAGTTGCAGCAGCGACGACCAATTCCCCGGCCTCCATCATCCCGAATGACCACATATGAGTGCCGGGCCTGAGTTCACCCATCGTCTCCAAAGTCTAAAGTCCAAGATACTCTTGACATCTTGCCGCTGGGGCCACACACCCAACCCTTGTTGCTGTTCCATTGCCTGAGGTGATTCACACAGCAACCCTTAAGCAATCATCTGCCAACATGTCCCACATCAAGCTCACACATGCGCCGTGCTCCCGGGCCCCAGTTCCCGGGGCCCTCACACACAAAAGCACACCGCGAAACCTACAAAGCGCGCCTTGAACGTCTCGATGATGACATGAAAGCCCTCACGATGACCTAACACGGCTAAACTAGAATGGAGAACGAAAAGAAACAGCTGCGGAGCTGCCTGGCCATCCTCTACAAAAAGGCTGAGCTCGACCTGTGTCAAACAGCCGTGTCTGAGTTCCGACAAGTTCTGCAATGTCATGAGCCTCCTCCTCGGGTGTTCCCTTCACCTGGAGAGCTCAGATGCTTAAAGAAGCTGAAGTGTTCTGAGCCTCCAAAAGCTTTGAACACTGTTAGTAGGCTAGCTCTGCATTGTCTTCCTACCTGAAAATGACGGCCGCTGCCATATTCATCAGGCCCACACGCCTAACAGCATCGTCTCAACAGTTCTACGCGCTGAAAAGAAATTCAGCTAGAGTCATGCCTCCTCACCAGCCCCCGTAGCATGAGGGAAAGTTGGATAAATGGCCTGGCCCACTCCATGAATCGTCCCAGGAAGCATATGACATATGAAATGTCACTCACATCAAACATGTTGCGGCATCAAAGTGAACATCTCAGCAACATGGGACAACATCGGACATAGGAGCAAGGACGCTACTAGGGACTCCTGGCCTTACTACTAGGAGAAAGAAGCTACTAGGAACAAAGGGCATCGCTACTAGGAGCAGGGACGCTACATGGGACAACATCGGACATGCCTGTAGCCGATCTCCGTCCCTCAGAATCTGAAACTCCTCTCGGCCTCGCTGACCGATCCTGCATCGGACAACATTTTGGACTGGTGCATAGACATAGGTTCAACGGGTCGTCCGGCCAAAGTAGCTTCTTGTTACTAGTAGCGATGCCCTTTGTTCCTAGTAGCCATGAACCAGCACATCGAAATGGCTCGAACTTTTTGGCATGGAGACATTTGTCTGATCGCAGCGACGGACAAACTCGGTCGGAAAGCATCACCTCACTGACCTTGGCAGCAAAGGCGTTGTGTGGAGATTTGAAGTGTCCCTGTATCTGCATTCACGAGGTCGTGGAAAGCATGTCCTCAATTTGGACATGGTGCACGCCTTCATTTGTGCGACCATTTGGAAATCTGCCGGCTGTTGGTTAGTTGGTCATCGAAAGGCGAATTCCCAACTGCAATCCTCTGGTGGATTCGCGGCGTTGCTGGCGTCCAAGGTCAGAAGCTGCTTCCAAGCGACTTCAGCCTCCGGGCGGCCGGCAAAGCGCAGCAACGCCACCAAGTTCCGCCAGTAGAGCACATTGTCAGAGCTCAGTTGCACCGCCTCCTGCAACTGCTGAATACCTTGCACGAGCGCTTCTTGAGGTAGTCGTCCTAGAAGGGCTCCTAGGCCCAACGCACAGCCCAAGTTGTTGAAACCTTTCGAAAAGGTTCCGTTGATTGACAAGCTCTTTTCAAAATTCAAAATCGCATCTTTGGGCCTCTCGGCAAACCACAGAGCCAGCCCATAGTCATGAAACACTTCTTCCTCATTCACTAGGAGTGGGCTGAAGTGGCCTTCAACTGCTCTGGCCAGAAGCTCTTCTGCTGCTTTGTGGTTTCCCCGGTAGATCTGAATCTGACCGGCATGGTACAAAGGCATGCAGTCTCTGTCAGTTGGATCTAGCGCCATCACAGTCTCAAACGAGGAAAAGGCCTCATCATATCGTTTATTGGATAGGTGGTGGGTGGCCAAATTGTATTGGACTCGGGTGGAACGGAGTTGCTTCGCAGCATCAGCTACGGTGATTGCTTCTGGGCTGGACCACTCAACAACTCGCTGCGCTGTGAGAAGTGTTAGGACCAGCCCTGCAACGACTAAGACTAAGATACAAGCGGTATGGTTTTCTCGATGTCGTGCAAGGCCAACAACTGCAATAAGAAAGCCAGCCGACGGTATGTACAGAAGGCGCTCTGCAACCATGGTACCAACGGGAAAAAGTACATTCGACATTGGGAAAAAGCTGAGTATCAATATAGCAATGCCAACAACAGGCACAGCATGGTCGTGTGTATGCACGCATCTCCTTAATAGTTGCAGCGACTGCGTCGTGAGAAGAGCAAAGCCGAGGTAACAGCTCACTGGCAAGAGCAAACGGCAATCTGACAAACTTCGAACCAGTGGCACTGCATCGAATGAATAGTCGTAGCAAAGGAAGCTTGGCCAAACCAAAAGCTTCCCATATATGCCATGCACAAGAGCATACGACAAAAAGCGCACCACACGGTCCTTCTCAGCCGCAACAGGATTACTGAAAGGATCCATCCGCTCGATCGTCGTCCCACTCGTATACCAAACTCGCGCAGCACACAAGGAGATACCAACAAGAAGTACCAAGCACATCCTCAAGAGCAAGCGACTCTGACAACGCAAGGTCAGCACAAGGATGTCCCAACCAACAAGGAGACCAAAGAAGCAGAAACCCGTCTCTTTGCATAAACCAGCTGCGAGTAAGAAGCCTGATGAGAGCAGGACGCCAACAAAAGAGAGCCAGAGCTTCCCGGAAGTTGTTTCTTTGTGTAGCAAAAATGACATGATCACCAGGGCCAAGCAAATGAGGTCAGCTCGCCCAACAATATAGAGCACACTTTCAGTATGCACGGGGTGGATGAGGAACAAAGCGCCTAAAAGGCAGGACCAATCAGCTGGCAGCCCACAACGAATGCCAAAAAACACCAGCATGGATGAACATATGAAATGCAGAAGTAGATTTGTGGCATGAAAGCCACTAGATTCAAAGCCGTGCAGCAAGAAATTCCACCGGAAGGTCACCACTGTGAGTGGCCTAAAGGATTTGTGCGTCCAAGTACCTGCAAACATGTCCAAACCCCAATAGTCGGTACGAAGGAGCCGATTCCAGTCCAAACTTTCGATCACATTGGGGTTCCGGGCGATCATCGCATCATCCATGAAGAATCCATTGTTGAACATCTTGTATTGGAAAGCAGGTGCCCACGCATAAATGCCTCCAACTGCCAAGGTCAGGGCAGTCCACAGGACAAGTGGCCTGGCTTGCCGAGCTGGCCCTGACGCATGCCGAAAGAGGCGATCGGAATGTTTTTGCATGTCCCTCTGCCAAGCAGCTAAAGCTGCTTCAAGGTCAGCATCTAGAACCCGGCTCTCCAAGCCAAAGCTCTTCACTAAAATCATCTTGAAAGCATCTGCAGGCATCGACAGCTGAAGGGTCTCATTGGTTTTGCCCAGCTCGACACCCACCGCCGCTAGGAGGAGCTTTGACATGGGCACCCTGGTGATGTTTCCATCTTTCTCGCGGCAAGACACCGTGGTATCACAAAAGCGGCCGGACAAAACCAGCTCAACCAATGTCTCCACTGCAGTCATCAGGTCGTCATGGCGACACACGCGTCTCTGAAGGAGACAACTGCAAAATGATCCACATGTCATACAATTCACTTGAATCAATGATCTGATCTATCTATCTATCTATCTCTCTGTCTGTCTGTCTGTCTGTCTGTCTGTCTAAGATCTATGTACAGTATCTGTGTGTATTACATCTCCGCAGGACACAAAGCAATTCCAGTAATTTTACAGTAGATCTGACATCATTGCTCTGCAACGAGCACTTCGACTTCGACATGAGAGACTCCGTGTAATGTATCAACACCCCAAGCGGAAAGAATGAATTCCCGCTGTCATTTGATCAAGGTTCCTCACCCTTCGCTGTCCAACACATAAAGGTGGCACCCTATAATCAGCAGGAAGAACCATAGAAAGATTGCCATTATCCCGCTAGCAAGATGCCATTTAGACATCTCAGCCTGAAGGTTGTCGACCACTCTTGGAGCTGGCTGTCATCCGCGCATTGCATTGCCTCGAGCATGGCTATAGTAGATCAAGGCAACACCAAACCTCGTCTGAGACCCAGGCAATGTGATGCCATTTTGTGAAGGTGCCAGTGACCTCAGACTAACGTCAATAATTTGACCTAAGTGCATCGCTAGTAGTAACAAGTGCCCTACTAGTAGAAACAAGTGCCTTACTAGTAGAAACAAGAAGCTACTAGGAACAAGTGCATCGCTTCTAGTAACAAGTGCCTTACTAGTAGAAACAAGAAGCTACTAGGAACAAGTTCATCGCTTCTAGTAACAAGTGCCTTACTAGTAGAAACAAGAAGCTACTAGGAACAAGTGCATCGCTTCTAGTAACAAGTGCCTTACTAGTAGAAACAAGTGCATCGCTACTAGTAACAATAAGAATTTAATTGTAATTACTAGCAAAGGAATTTGACCTCTTCGTCCCAAGATCTTTCCTGCCCAGGAGCATAGTAACCGCTGTTGCGTGGAAGCGCGAATGTGCGGCGCCTCGGTTTTCTAGCTCGCACGCTGGAGGAGACCCGTTCATAGCTTCTTGTTACTAGTAAGGATGCTCCTAGTAGTGTCCTTGTTACTACTAGTAAGGCACTTGTTACTAGAAGCGACGCACGTGTTCCTAGTAGCTTCTTGTTACTAGTAAGGATGCTCCTAGTAGTACGGCCAGGAGCCCCTAGTAGCGTCCTTGCTCCTAGTAGCGATGCCAGGAACCCCTAGTAGCTTCCTGTTGTTGCTTAGATCTGAAATCTTTTTCTCAACGCCCGATATCATATCTCTAGACCTGTTGTGAAACGTGACCCAAAATCGAGGGTCTTACGCAAAGATTGTCACGACCCCTCAGCCGCGGTGAGTTCAAGCGTCCGTGGGTCAACAGGCCCGGAGTGACACTCAGCGGCGAGATCCAGTGAAAACAACTGACTGATGGATCAGCAGGACAAAGCGGTCATGAACACGCATTACCTGCAGAATCACACGGCTCAGGCTTCTCTTCCAAGATCTGATCTACAATTGCTGCTGAGAGACTGCAAATCCGAAATCTCAGCAGCTACCTGGACAAGGATCAAGGTCCTATTGCAAGCGATCAGCGCTTCTGTGGTCTGAACTTCTGAACTGAAAACACGGCGCAGTCGCCTCGGACCGGGGCCCAAATGAAGAAAGCGACAGTCTGCTCTGAAGCACTTGCCGCCAGTATAGTTGAAGCAAACCTGGTCAGAATGTTTGTAGCACAGGCAAATTTGGGCTCTGGTGCCAGTGGAAAATTAGCACCATCTTACGGAGAACGGCGCAAGTACTGACAGTGAACCGAGTGCTTATACATCCTGCTCCCGCTAGGACTCGGCTCCGGCCCAAACCTGGCCTGCTGCTTCCCCTGCTGCTGCGCCAAGGCTTGACCCGTCAGAGGCGCGTGTCTCGCCAAGGTGCTGGCTGTAGGGGTTATGCCCAAGCCTGGCCTGCACAACCAACGAAACCACCGCCGGTCAGTTGAGTCTGGTCTTGTCATGAATATGACTCCTAACCAATTATGTAAATTGCTGTCAATGTTCGCAGGGCTTCATGAACATAATGATTTACAATGTCTGCAGGCACCTCAGCTTATCAGCGAAGCCAGACCTGACATTGAAGGCGAAAACGTTCAGTCAGATTGACTAGAGATGAGATCCGGCCTTCACAGCTGCGCAACAGTAACACCCACAACCACCATCATATATCTATACATAGTTATAGACTAGGAGAACCCTGACCCTTGCCTCAGGCGGACAAGTACAAAGCTCCGGGTTGGGCGTGTCTTTGTTGGACTCCTACTATTCTTGCAGGCAAGCTGCGTAAATCCTGCAGGCGGTGCAGGAGCAGGCACTGCCAGTGTTACAGGCGCTGGTGTAGGCAGTTGAAGTTCCGGCGGTGGATCCGTGGTCACATCGACAAGCTCCAACCTCATCTGGGCATTCTCAAGAAACAGCCGCAACCATCTCAAGAAGACGGGTATCGATATCGAACGCTGACGCCGGCCTGGAAATAAGTGGCTGACGCGCTACTATATCATTTTCAGCAAAGTGACATTGGAGGCAGAAGCTGAAAGCTGCTCGTCGCAAGGCCAACAGCAATTGGCCATACGCGTCGACCCATGTCCTCGCTGCCTGAACTACCTCAGCAATCAATCCTACCACTTCTCAAAGTAGGAACAAATAGCTACTAGGAACAAAGGGCATCGCTACTAGGAGCAAAGGGCGCTACTAAGGGCTCGTGGCCTTACTACTAGGAGCAAGAAGCTACTAGGTCCCTCTCGCTAGCTTGTTCCTTCGCCCTCTTTCTTCCGCTCTTATGGTCTCTCTGGAGCTGCTTCCTTTACGTGCGGACACACAGGTACAAAACTTGACAAGGAAACACTGGGCATTGGGCATAATCTTTTTAGATTATACTTGTTGTGAGCATGGGATGGGATATATATATATATTATATATATATTATATTGTAGGTCTGCAGGTGCCCCATCTCCAAGTGGGGGTCAAGAGTCAGGAACTCGAAAGTTAACCCCCTCGCGCAGTCTTGGAGTTAGCTTTGGTGGGGACCTTCTCCGTAGACTCTGGCCAGGAAAAAGTGGCACCAAAAGCAAGTTAGTGGGCCGATCCCCTGTGTAGTGGCACATGTCGAAAGGAAACCAGAAACACAAATTGCATCCGAAATGCCTAAGTTGGATTGAGGGCACCCAGGGTGCAGCCATAACAAACAAACATTCCTCTGATGGATCTGGACTAAATCCATGGAAAGGATTATGGCGGGCATTGAACACAAACATGCACGCACACACACACAATCACGTAAGTACAAGATCCCCGCTAATGCTGGCAATGCGTTGATCTTCGTTCAAGGCGCTCGACTCTGAGGAACTGCTCTTTCTCCGGTCCCGAGACCGGGAGCGATCCTCACAACACACGTCCGCATATGGCTACAGCTTTACCAGTTCAACAGCAAACAGAAGTGGCACTGCAAATTTGAAGAGTCAACCAAGGCAACAAAACCAAACATAAATCAAACCAAGCATCTCGATCTCTTTCTCTCTCCTTCTCCTTTGCATGTCGTTCTCGATCCTTCTCCTTCGCATGGCCCTTCTCCTTGTCTTTTTCTCTTTCTCTATCCTTGTCTTTCTCTTTGTCCTTTTCTTTTTTGTCTTTATCTTTTGCTTTGCTTTTCTCCTTGTCTTTCTCTTTATCCTTGTCTTTCTCCTTCTCCTTATCCTTCTCTCTGTCCTTATCTTTGTCTTTCTCTTTGTCCTTGTGTTTTTCTTTATCTTTGCTTTTCTTCTTCTCTTCTTCCTTCTCCGAGTCCTTTTCTTTCCCTCGGTCCTTGTTGTCCTTTTTCTCCTTCTCTTTCTCCTTGTTGAGCTGGCTACAGTAGTATCAAGAGGGAGAGAGAGAGAGAGCAAGCAAAAGCCACTATGTTGCTGTTGAACTGAAGAACTCTAGAAGCTGCCTTCTTCTTGTCCTTGCCTTTTTCTTTCTTCTCCTTCACCTTCTC